AATACAAGCATACTTCTATTAACTCCTGTAACTGTAAGGAGTATGCGGCTGCTTTCTTCAATCTTGATATCAGATGAAACTTCTTTCTCGGTTCCGTGTTAGACTCTTGGCGCAGCTGCATCGCAAAGCTCCATGCTCGCTCAGCCATAATCAAGGGCACTTGCAGAAACTTGTCTTCACTGACCATAGTTGCCGTAATATCCTTTCTCTTAAAATGACGTCTATCACCTTGCGGTACCTTCAACACCTTCCTTAGCCTTCTAAGCCTTCTTGAGCAATAACCGCGATATCGCTGGTAATCACTATGCCTCAACCCATGTTGTTGTTGCGCTTCCTTGATTATTTTCAGAACTGTATGTTTGTTAGGAATCAATAACAGCGCCAGAGATTAAAATTACAATAAATTATGATACAATAAATTAAATGTACACGTTGCAAAAAAGATCGATGTTTAGGTTGTACATCAGATTAATAAACTTCACATTATATGACCACATCGTTAATCTAAAAATTAACGTTCATGTATATAAAAAAGTTCATTTCTATTAGTATAGAATAATTTAAAAATCTTGGCTTAAATTATTTTTTATCTTTTATTCTTTTTAAAGCTAGTTTATTAAAAATGAAGATTAAAAATAAAAAGATAAAAAATAAGATTAAATCCACATTAAATTAATTAAAATTAATTTACATTAATAAAAATAGATAAAGGAAATATTTAATATATTGCCAGTGACGTGACAATGAGAGGTTAGGAAGAAGCATATGGTACCGACAGCTGTCAAAAATCTGGGGGCGACAATTTCACCAAAGGATACTCTCCAAGGAATACGTCTTCAGCTCTTTCGCTCCATTCTGCATCTGATTCTCCTTCGAAAGATCCGTTTTTTCCTCAACCATTCTTCCTCAATCACGCACTCGCACGATTCCCATGAAAGAAAATATGTGTATGCGTGTGTATGTGTGTGTGTTCACGTCCCTTCACGAGCGAGTGAAGTAGTGCGATATTATATCGAAATCTGCGAGATATTAGATATCGACGTTTCGAGTAGGGTGTTTTACAAATGGCGACCCTGTTATCACACGTGAGAATTGGGTAGAAACTGTCGTATTTTGTCTATTAATTTGGCTTTTTTCAAATTTTGAAGTTTCGCAACATTGGTTGGACATCAACACGATCGACTTGCGATATAATTAATTAACAGATTGATAATCCTGATCAGAGATTTTATTTCGACATGATATCTGACTCAGAATCGGAAGCCGACATCAATTCAGGAATCCAGAGAACATTAATTTCCATCAATGACATTACTCTGAAAATGTAAAATTTTTATTATAACTACACAAATCTACTTTTTTTATAGCTTTTAACTTTATAACTTAGTGTACACTAAATTATATTTAAAATAAATAAACGTTTTGAACCTTGGTGAAAACAAGTGATCTGATGATGGCAATTGAATCGGTATACCCACTGTAAATTTTTTCAGAAAAAAGGAGCTAAACATGATCGATGAACTTGTGAAAGAAAATGGACTCCTGCAGACGGTAGTTGGGACAGCGAATGAAACATTGTCTAAGAAAGTTCACGAAATGGGAATGAATGTTGCAGAGATCATCGATGAGGGCAGGCGCAATGACAGGTTAGAATCGAATTTTCTGGATTCAGTCATGTCAAACAACATAGTAGTTACAGAGAAATTATTGGAATACATGAATCCCTGAAGCATATAACTTTTATTATATTTTATATACATATATTTTTATGTTTAATATACATATATTTTTATTCTTTAATAATGTATATAAACTTTTTTAAAGTAATTTTATATTAATAATTAAAAGTTTCTGAGAAGCAATAAATATGTATTATATATAAAATTATTTCTATAACCCGTATATTTTTTTCAATGATATTAATTATCTATTAAACATTGATTTATTAATTAGAAGCCTATAAAAAAATATTCTTTAAAGAAGGAAACACTGGAATTGAAGGCAGATACTTTTGACAGTATCTTGCTGTTTTATGGCACATGCATTTATAATTTTGATTCAGTCAACCAGTTAAATTCTTGCTTTTTTCGATCTGCTTGTGGATCAATCATAATATTTATTAGACTAGGATTATCCATCACCTGAAACAATGTTTTAAAATTTATTTTATTTCAATAAAAAATTAGTTTAAGGAAAATTAGCTTACCTTGAGAGATGATTTTAATGCTTCCTGAATGTCTTGCACAGTAGTACAAAAATATCCTTTCTTATCAAACATTTCCATAAGTTTCTCATAATGAGTTCCAGATGTTAAAGAATATGGAGGTGTTCTGAAATTTTAATAAATACATACAAATATCAAAACACAGAAATTATTGTTATATGAGAGAAATTAAGTAAAAAATTAAAATTAAGAAGTAGTGAATTATTCAGATTTAGCAAATACTTTTTGACATTAATATTTACGTAGAGATGCTTACACTTGCGTAGGATCTCCGGATGCTTGTATTTGTCTGAAGGTTTCTTTATCGAAACCACTGTATATACCGTTATTATTCACGATTATGATAATTATTGGTAGTTTGTATCTATGGAGAAAGGAAGATCGATGTAATTACATCTGACATTCTTTGCGTGAAATAGCGATTTCTCCACGGAGATTACATTACCGAAACATCGTTTCGATCTCCATGCCAGAGAATCCAAAGGCGCTGTCTCCTTCCACACAAATCACCCTCTTTTTCGGCGCGTTATCTTTGCAATAAAGAGCAGCCGCGATCGCAAAACCAAGCCCTACACCCATAGTGCCGAACGTACCGGCATCTAGTCTATGGCGAGGCAGATCATTCAAGAGAATGGTTCGTCCGATATCCATCGTATTAGCTCCCTCGGAACAAATAATGCAATCTGTATATATAAAAAATATAGATAAATTATTATAAAGATACATATATAGATACATATATAGATAAATTATTATAAAGATACATATATTAAACGCTTATATCTAAAAGAAATGTACAAGAAAATACTCACCTTTTGGTATAACATCTTGAATATGTCTAAATACGGCATAATAATTCAGAGGCACGTTGGTATCTGACGACATTCGCTACAAATGAACAACTATAATTAGTAATATAGAGAAAATCAATAATTCATAATTATCAAAACAGAAACTCACATGAACTGACATCCTATTTTGATCGGCTTTTGTCTCGAGTCCCTTCCACCATGAATTGTTTCGGTCGACATGCCATTTTCGACTTTTCAATGCATCCGTCAGATATTTCGTTGCAGGCGCAATGTCGGATTGTATGGCGACGGTGGACGGCACGGAATTGTGCAATTCTTCGGCGCACAAATCAATCTACGGAATTGTACAATGACGTAAAATCTTGTAATATATCGTGATTATATATCGTCCACGAAGTGATTTTGATCTCATCTCATATAATAGCCTTTGGATTAAAGTATATCTTCAAATATTGTCACGCGATCTTATAAATTAATTTCTCAGATTTAACTTCAATAAATAAACTTCAAAAAAATATATATAAAGAGATGAAACCACATCGTGCGCATTTTAAAAACTTTTGACATATCGCAATTTACTTGTATAACTTTGATGTCGCTCTGAAATCTGGGTGGTCGTCCAAAGTGCAACATCCAATTTAATCTCGCGCCTAACAATAAAATGACATCGGAGTGTTGCAAGGCGTATGTTCGTGCGCTGGAGACGCAACGTTTATCTGTATCCGGTACAACACCTTTTCCCATTGGCGTCGGTAAAAAGGGTAGATCTGTTGAATAGATTAGCTCTCTCACCGAATCTTCCGCTCGACCATAGGCGGTTCCTATACAAAGGTCATAAAGAAAAAGGATAAGAGAAAAAATGATTAGAATGAAAAGTTTTTGCAAATCTATTTACCTTTGCCAATTATTACTAAAGGTTGCGTTGCTTTCATCAATAAATTCGCCGCCCGCTCGATTAAATTCATATCAGGATGTGATATTGGTGGCGGTGGACAGGGTGAAACCTTGGCGATCTTACCTTCATCCACATTTTGAATCAGTAATGTAGCTGGTAAATCGAGATAAGTAGCACCTGCAAATAACAGAACGATGTTAAAGCATAAAATTCCAAAAAAGTTATTAGATTTTTTTTGTTAAAATTTTGTTAATCCAAATAATTTTTAAAGTCTCAAGTCTCAACTCTCTCGAGCAGTCAATTCGGTTTTATGACGTCATAGATGAGAAATAACATGCAGTAATTTCCTCGTCATATACAATTATTTTTTAGTTTTTTTTTTAAAGTCATAATTTCATGATTTTGCTACTTGTAAAATATGCGGAAAACTGAAACATCTGTCCGATCTATCACTTAGAAGTGTAATTCTTGAAATAACAAGTCATCTTTCAACCATTCTCAAACGACCGTGACAGTTAATCGTGGCTGAAGCTATCCATTATTTTAGGAGTGATTTTACATTTTTATATGCTCGGACAGATATTTCAATTTCCCACACATATTTTTACACATTTCGAGATCACAAAATTATTATTTTTAAGGGAAAACTAAAAAAATAGAGCTATTCGTCGCAAGGAAATTACTACGTACGTCATTTCTCGCCTATGATCACAAACCAACATGATTGCAGCAAAAGAGTCGAATCTTAAAACATTAAATTTAAACATATAAATATATAAATTCGGAGTTTTCTGAATATGTGAAATATTAAATTCTCATGAATCGACAAGAATTCACGGGAAATCTTCCATCATTTTTCCCATTCGACAGCTGGCGATTAGTTTCGCTAAATAAATTGAAAAACTGCAGGAATTTAGCCCTTCGCACCTGGTCTACCATAAATGCTGAGTCGTACGGCCTTTTCAACGTGCAATGGTATGAGTGCAGCTGACGGGGGCCTTGCTGCGTATTTACAGTACGGTCGACTTGCCTCGACCTGTGGCCATTCTTGAAATCCACCGATGCCTTCGTGATCCTCCGGACAAGATCCTCCCAACACGAGCACAGGCCTAATCAAACGAAATACACGTTTGATTAGAACTCAAACTTAATGAAATATATCCGTAATTATTTCCTACATGTTAGAAAGCTCAAATATAGCTTGAAGACAAAATAGGTCTAATTAATTTCATGTAATTTTTACGGACAAGAAAAAATGCATTGCGTGCAAGTCCGATGTTTTGATTAGGAAAAATCCACAGAGTACAATGACGTAATCATCTCGCTGTGATATCAATATAATGAGATCGTAATCACGCGTCAGACTGTAGTTGGACGGAAATTTTCACGATGATTTTCTAAGCAGATAACAAACAAAAAGTCACCGCACGTGTCGATCTTTTCGTAAGATATGAAAAATTATTAATTCCGCTTCCGTTACATTGAAGTCATTACTACATTACATATTCTCACGGTTATCGCCAATATAATACCAATTGCTAATATATTTCTTAATATAACTTCAGCAAGTTATTAAGATGACAGAAATGCTCACCAACAATTTACTTGTGCGTTCGCCATGCCGCCAATTACATGCAATAATCCCGGACAGAGACACATAGCACCACCGCAGGTTT